GGCGCGGAGGGGGCTGAGGGGGAGGAAGGGGGCGGCTCCGAACGCTGCGTTACCTCGGGTCCTCTCTGCTTCCCGACGCCTCCACGCCCCAGTTTAAAGCAAACGGAATAACAGCTGTGAACAGCATTAGCCTGTCTACCTTTGTAGTTTGGGGTTTTTGTTGTTGTTTTCTCCCCGTTCTGTTCTTGTCCCAGTTGAGTTTCCAGCCGTCCTGTTAAACACCTCGACAGGAGATACTGAATCTGAATTCCACACATATGTCCAGCCCCAGGAACATCCTATTCTCTCTGAATTTTGTACAGAACTCACTGGCATCACACAGGTACAGTTGCTATTTAGCATTATTCGACACCATTGTAATTGCTATTTACTATTTTATTTAAAGAGGCCTTTAAAGGGCTGAAAAGTAAACCTGAAATGAATTTCAGTGCGTACTAACACCTATATACTTCTTGTTCTGTTTCATGAAGAAACAAGTTGATGAAGGGGTCCCTCTAAACATTTGTCTATCACAGTTTATGAAATGGATTCAAAGGATACAAAAGGAGAAGAAAATTATATTCAGTACAGATATTCTAAGTAACTCTACTTCAGAAGCCAAAGCATGTACCATTGTTACCTGGACAGGTAAATAAAAATTTTAATTTGCTTTTTCTGCAGAGTAATATACATACAAACCGAACATTTGGTGGTACTAGTGAGATTACGTCTTTACTTCTACAGAGCCAAAATCCTTTTTATTAGGTATTAAAGTTATGCAATATTGGGATAAGACTAAAAAACACAAAATCCACTGAATCCTAGTGTGTTCACTGCATCACTGTCTCCAGGGTCTGACATATTTACATTCTTCTGCTTTACATATAGTGAACTGTGTCACCATTCTTAATGTGTCTAAATGATTTAATGAAGTCTTTGAGATGTTCACCCATGTGAAGTTACACTTCACTAATAACAGGCACTCATCCTGTCCCACTGCAGCAACCCTAGTGTTTTTCATGTACAAAGACTTCATTAGCCTGTCTAGCAGTACAGGGTGCTACCAGTATGTTGATGTTATATCCCTTTATGAAGATTTTAGGCCATGTTTATGGAGATTTTAGGTCAGTTCTTTATTTGTGAATTATTTGTGGGTTTTCTTCTGTGCAGACTGGGACCTGGGTGTGTGTTTGCAGTATGAGTGTAAAAGGAAGCAGCTGCGAAAACCTGACATTCTAAATTCCTGGATTGATCTCAAAGCAACATATAAGGTGAGAAGATCAATCAACTCTGAAACATTTATATCCAAATAACCTCAAAGGCTAACTGTATCTGAGGTTACAAGCCAATATTTCACATTCCAGTGACTATAGTAACCCGTTTTTTTTCTTTTTGTGTTATCACTCAATAACAAACTGCATGCCCTAGAACTGTGTGAATTTTAATAGAAATCTTAATGCTAGGAAAACAACCTGGTGTTATTGTTAGATAAATGAATGATAATCCTAGGATAATTTTTCAAGCTGTTCTTCCTTTCCTGACATCTCTGGTTCTGCTTGTTTCCTGACTTCCCTCATTTTGTGTGCTCTTATTGCTGCCTTACACTGCTGCATAGAAAAGTCGTCATCATAGATTTAGAGGTACTTAAAGGTCTAGCATGTGAACTATACTTTGACCAGACTATTCTGAATAGTATGAATTTAAAAAAAAAAGTATATTTTATTACACAGTCTACACTGCAACAGCCTTCTAACTTGGAGGCTAACAGCACCTGAGTGAGTGTACCTTCCCCTGTGTAGTCAAGGATGCTTTTCAAAGGGTGCTCCAGGAGTCCACCTGTCCTGACACCTGGAGCTTAGGCTTTTGAGCTAGGTAGGAGAATTAGATCTCTAAAGATAAACAGTGTGAATATTCCTCCTTTCTTGAGATCAAATGAAATACTGAGAGTAACAATACTTTTTCTCATTCAAAAAGAATCTATACCTATGACAAATATATTAATGCCCATACCTTTGCAGTATGCAACAGTTTAGACACCCCAAGATATTATTTAGAGTGGTATCCTTCAATGCCACTCTGTTGAGGCCTTCATCAATGTAAGCCATAAAGTGCAAATGACTGACTCCAGAGCTAAGAGAGAAAGGATTAGTTTAAGGCTGAGAGAAGGGATTCGTGGTTCTTTCCTTTCTAATTTGCTACAGGGTAAGTAACTTATGGTCTTGTGCTTATTTATCCTGACTGTAAAATGAAGATGCTGGAATTGCACAATTGCCTTGTGAGATTTATTATTCATAAGGTGATATTTCTGAAATGGTTTTCACTTCACTTCACTATGAAAAGGTTTTGAAATGCTTTATGCTAACCACCTCGATTTTTGTCCTTAGGCCTTCTACAACAGAAAGCCTAAAGGGTTAAGTGGTGCTTTGCAGGATCTGGGGATAACTTTTGCAGGACGGGAACATTCCGGTAAGTATGACATGATCCTAATTTTTATATATATATAAAATATATAAAGCTAAATAGCTACTACTGAGCTTTAATTAACTAAACTAAACCAGCTAGTAATAGCTAGTCGTTACTCTAAATAGTAACTATTATTTCCAGGTTATGCAAAAACATCAAAACAAGAAAGGCTTCAAAAACCAAATATTGTTATTTCTAACCTCACACTTTATTTCTGAAATCTCTCCTAGTGCTATTGAGTGCATGTTCAGCAAAATCAATCTCTGAATTGCTAGGGCACAAAAGAAAAGAGGCAGAGGAAGGATAAGGAAACTTGATTTTACCTGATAGCTCTGGACAGCATATTAGTGTAAGAGAATATCGGCACAATATGACTTTTTTTTTTTGTCATGATGAATGAAACAGAGCAGAGATTTTAAAAATTGTGAATATGTATTGTGCCTTCTGATATTTCAGCATAGGGAATTTTATGGAATTTTTTAGTCTTGCTTTCCTTTTTTGAACTACATAACTGTGTCAGAGTTCTGTGAATCCCTGTCATTTATGTAAGGCTTACCTAGGTTACCTTTTTTCCCTAATAAGAACTATCTCCAGTAGTAATTTTTTTTAAAAAGACATTAATATAACCATACTTTTAAAGGGTTGGATGATTCTCGGAACACTGCCCATCTTGCTTGGAGGCTGATTAGTGATGGATGTGTGCTGAAGGTTACTAAATCTTTGGATAAGGTTAGTAACTACTTCATACCTTTTGGTTCTACTTGCTTTGTAGCCTGGAATACAGATGAAAGGTGAGCTATTCAAATAATAAAACCCAGCATCTTCACTATGAATTGAACAGAACATCCCTAGGCTGATATGCTTATTAATTTTGTGCATTGATTCCTAAAACTTCTGGGTATTCACTTTCCAAAATCTCTTTTTGTTTACGGACTCCCTAGGCACAGCCGAAGAGTAATTTAATTTCCAGAACACCAACTACAAACTTCACTGACAAGACTCAACTGGGAAGGAACAGCAGACCTGAAACATCTAGAAATGAAACTTGCGAAACAATCTGGCTGAGAAAAAAAGGCAACAGTATTGCTGTAATTAAGAGAAATTCTGATGTAAAAACTGAAGAACAACGGCCCACTTGCAATGATTCCTGTGCAGATGTCCATGTTGTACCATGCAGCAGCTCAAGAACTGAGTTACATGCTCAAGCCCAAAGCTCTTCAACAGCATCTACTGACAGATTTCCTGTTCCTCTTGCACAGGCACAGCAACCTTGCAGTACTGTGTCAACAGGCATTCAGCAAGGATTGAGCAATGGGCTTCTGAGTACAGCCAGGCACTGCCTTCCAGTACACGGACCAAGACTCGTGCTTGTCTCCACTACCATCTCCTCAGTTAATGTCTCCAATGATGATGTCAGTATGAGTTCTGATTGCTTATCTGTGCTCACTGACTGGGAAGATGTTGCTTTAATACCAGAATCTCAATATGGACAACATCCGGACTATGTTAAATTCAAAGATGATTTAAGTACAGATACTCTGTCGGTGTTTGAAGATAAAACAATTTCAAAACAATCAGTTGTGATGAGTTCAGATAATCAAAGTTTGGAGAAAACCCTAATACCTGTGGAACCTCTGAAATCTATAGTTTATAAAAGTCCTGATACCACTATCTATAATGTGGGAACAGTAGCAGGGCAGACTTCAATTTTTTCAGATTTTAAGTTACCACCTGCAGAGGTAAATGCTATTTCAGCACTATCAGCAACAACTGGAAATTATTCTACTCCTTCAGAGGTTCCTAAAAGAAACCCAACTAGTCCAAAAATGTTTCCACCAGCAAAAAAGCAGTCTTTTGCTATATATCAAGAGAAAACTGCATCTTTTGATCATTCCTTACCTTTAAGAAGTTTACATTTGCCCAAGGTGTCTCCGGCCATTCTGAACTCCACAGTCAATTTGAATCAGTCTGCAAGAGCTGTCAAAAATGGAAAACCAACTCCTCCTCTATGTAACTGCGGTCGAAGAGCTAAAAAACTGTATGTGTCAAATGCTGGTCCAAACCACGGCAAAGCATTTTTTTGCTGTCCTGTTAGCAAGCATGAAGGTAGTAAGAAAGGCTGTGGATACTTCAAGTGGGAACACGTGCTTCTAAGAGGGAAATCTAATGGTCTCACCCCGAATGCAGATGCTTCGACCTCTCTTGGAACTTATGCCAGTAATTTAGGAAATTCTTCAAACAAAAAATATTTGTGTCTTAGACCCTCTATGAGAACTTAAAAACTAGTAATTCTTTTTTGTCTGATTCTTAAACTCAGCAGGCTGATCACACTAAATATAATCAGGACAGTCAAACGATATCAGATATATGCTCTGAGAATGGGACAAAAATAACACAGCTTGGTTAACACAGAAATAGAATTTATCAAGCATACAAAAATATCAATATATCATAAAGTATCATTAATGAATTGTGAGAGAACACATAAAACTATTACATGCTAAAATTAAAGTATGAGCAGCTGTTGCTACAAGTCTTGAACTTCTGCTTTATCATATATTTTAAATTCTTTACTAGTCCAGTCCTTGAAGAAATTTTTAATGGTACAGATTTTACTTACACTTTTTAAAAAATATACTTGTAATGATTATAACTAGTCCTTAAAGAACGTTTTAATAAAGTGGATTTTATTTACACTTTTTTTCCTAAATATAAATGTAATGATTATAACCAACTTTAAAATATTTATTTAGATGTCGCACATCTCCTGAAGCAATAGTGTTCTCTTAAACTCTTGCTGTTTTTTATCATTTAAATTAAATAACAATAAAGATAAAATGCTGATGACAGTTCAGTAAATAGTTTATTTAACACACATCATTTTTTGCACTCTTGACTATATGAGTTTCCCATTTAATTTGTATCAGTCTGTCTGCTGTTGTACTATTAGTTATTAGTGTAGTACCCAGGACAGCCAAATGTTGGAAATCAGAATAAGAACTCATTCAAGCCTAAATTAAGAAGGACATAGTATAATGTCGTTTACTTCACATTACTGTGTAAATCTGCTTTGTAAAAAATCCTATTAAAAAAGCAACAAGTACTCCTAATCTTTTCTCCACTCCTTCTGGCGCAGTTCATTTCTTCTGATCTTCCCACTGATAGTTTTTGGCAACTGTTGAACAAACTCCATCTGTTGGAAAGCAGAGGAAATTACAATACAAAATAAGATATAGTTAAGCCTAAATTTTTAGTTTTTCATAGCCTCAGCAGCATAGGCTTAAAGCCATGTGACAGTTAACACCCACTGTGTTATGGTAGTGAAAATTATTTGGGTATTTGAGCACTCACCTTCCTAGGATACTTGTATGGAGCAGTAACTTTCTTAACATGGTCTTGTAGCTCTTTCACCATTTTTTCCGGATCACGTGAAGCATAGTCAGATGTTAAAACGACAAAGGCTTTCACTACCTAAAGATGTTACAGCAGCAATTATTTAAATGCCATGAAATAGTATTATACATCAGTAAGATTTGAAAATTTAACCAAAAATTGGCTGACAAACTCCAGAGTAATGTATAGGGCAGGTACAGAAAACTTTGCAAAAGCCTGTGGGTGCTCATTACTGGTCTGGACTGCAGGGGCAGTTTATATACATTTAATAAAGACAAAAAAACTAAGCATTTGAATAACAGGAAAAGCTTCAAATGCTGCATTTGTTATATCGGATTAGGGGCAACTGCCTTGGTCAGTTTTTTTCCTTTGTGGGTTCTCCAGTGTCTCATAGAGTAAGATGTCACCTTGAATTTAGTTCTAATTTAAAAAAAGAAAAATAAACCCCTGGATAGATAAATTCCTTGGAAGTTGGGCTTTATTAGTTCTAGTATGCAAAAAACTACTTAAATATATAAGCTTGTTGAACTTGTTTACCTCTCCTCTGATGGGATCTGGACTGCTGACCACTGCTGATTCCACCACTGCAGGATGCTCTACTAGGGCACTTTCTACCTCAAATGGTCCAATTCGGTATCTTTAAAACAGGAAAGGGCTTTTAGTTGTATTTGCTAACACATAAATGTAACTTCACATCTGAATCATCTGTGTTACTCAAGTTTAATGATTTACTGTTAATCAGTCTTAAATTACCCAGCAGAATTAATGACATCATCAGCTCTTCCAACAAACCAGAAGTATCCATCCTCATCCATAATCCCCCTGTCTCCAGTGACATAAAAGTCCCCACGTATTGTTGCTTCTGTTTTCTCTGGATCATCCTGGGAAATATTAAATTGCATTTTACATGAAACCTACCTGAAAAATACATGAAATTGCATTCTAATATATTTAGTATATAAGTTATGGTGCAGTCAAATATTTTAAAATCTTAGCTTTTCAGTCTGGTCCATGCTGTTGTCATGTGCATCAGATTCAAGAAGGACATTAATAATAGAGAATTATTATTTCACCATTACTAGGCTACAAAACTAGATATAAAGTTCATAAATTACAATAAACATGACTGACTTAAAATTTTAATATTCTATTAAGCCCTATGGCTTTAGGAATCACTGAAGGTTGCAACAATACGTAGGCTTATGGAACTAAGAATCTGCTTTTATGTGATTATTCTTCTATGATTTTTTCCCCCTTGTATTTCTAGCATCTCCTATCCTGAAATTTTTAATTTTTTTCCACTCCCAGAAAAGTTTTGACTTGGCACAGTGCAATTAGTAATTCCTTTTTCTACAGCAAATGTAACTGATTCTTGCAAGATTTTTTTCTAGGCAGTATGCATGGTGTTCCTCTTTCACATGCTCAGGAGACCTGACTATAGGCTGATACTATTCATAAAATTTAATAATATTCCCTGGTGTCAGAACTGAGTGTATTATGCATTTGTTCTACTGGCTGTTGGACTGGAAATTCTAACCAACATGGAAAAAAAAATAATTTTGCTGTGTATGAAACACTTGATGAAGCTTGAGTCCTGCTTCTCAGATGGGGGCTGCAGTCCTTATGCCAAAGAGTAATTTGGCATTAGGGAGTCTGTCAAACATTTCCCATTATATTAAGGAAATAACAATCAAAAGAAAGTGGATTTTTAACTTGCTAGGTAGGATAATCTCACTGAACATGTAATTGTATAAGTAGACCAAGCATCTGCATGAGGAAAAAAAAAATGGAAATCCCTTTTTCCTCCTGACAGGTTTTGAGAGTGGTAAGCAGAGTATATGCAAATGAAACGGGGCATCACATTCTTTGTGACAGATTTAACAGGGTATCTACTTTAACAGTAGAAATATTCTTACAGCATAGCAAGTAAAAAGAAAAGGCGATCTCATAGGTTTTACTCTGATGGCAATGTCTCCTTCTTTTCCGGGAGGCAGAATATTACTGTTTTCATCTATAATCTAAAAATAAACAAAACACAATTTTATGATCTTGGAGTCAAATTAAAAAACATTAAATTAAGATTACAGAATCTTGGTGCACATTTAAAATACATAAAGCATTTTTTTAATTGGGAATTTATTTGGAGCAATAGACAACTGAAGTATAAGATTATTACTAATCCACTGTCCTTCGCACTATGTCTTTTATCTGAGGAATGCCAAGTACCATGCAAGCGTAATGAAGTAAGACCCCAGGGACGGCCTGAAGTAATGTGGTGGGAAAACTTAAGAACTGAAATATACAAAAAATTTTAACCTATATTGTGAATTGATCTGGTGCTAGAACCTGCTTCAGCAGTTCTGTTATCGCCAGGAAACAACATTCACTCCCAGTATTCCTTAACTCAGCAATTTAATTTCTATCATTGCATTCATGTTTGATACCTAACAGACAGTTAGCAGTGGGTTGTCTTCTATGTTGGTGAGGATGGTGCAATAGGGAAGTCCAATAGTTTATTTTGCATGCTCAGTTCAGGGCAGTAACATGCATTTCTTCACTCTTTCATTCACTGCTGAATGTACCATGGTATGTGGTACAACTCTGGGTTAGAGCTTTCAAACCTCTTTACAGGAAAGTGATTATGCAAGAGAGAGAGAGATTGAGTCACTGGAGGTATGATACCTTGACATCATAGCCTGGAGACGGCTTTCCCATAGAGCCAGGTTTGATTTTCATTCCCTTAAAATTTCCACAGATCAGCACCTGCAACAAGTGTTGTTGGGTTTGTGGTTTGTTTTTTCTTTTTTTATTTAATTAAACTGTGGCTTGTACATTCAGTCTTTAGCTTAGGCTTAAATTACTTGGCTAATATAATCATATATCCAATGATTAAGCTTCTAGAAATAAACTATGCCCCCAGAATCATGCCCACAGCTCCAAATAACGTTAGCAAGTGCTTTAAGGATAGATTCTAAAGCAGAATTTGGAATGTAGTAATGAGGACTATACTCCTTTTGTGTTAGTTCCCAATTCAAAGATCACAGGAATGAAAAACAGTCCTTGGATTTTGGGTGAAGCTGTTATGATTGTTCTATGATTTACAAAACCTACATTTTTCCAGTGCTGCTTATTGTAATTGACTTTTCACCTAAAAGTCATAACTGTGTGTAATAATTTTAATCACATTTTCTTGGCAACCTAAATGTGATTTATTGCTGTATCCGGAAAGCATACATTTTTACATTTGTACAGCAGAACATACTGTTTCTGTCTGTCCGTAGCCTTCATGAATAGCCAGCCCAGTCAGCACCTTCCACTCTTCTATCACGTCAGGGTTGATTGGCTCCCCAGCACTCACACAGTGCCGCAGGCTTTTGAATCTATAGCTTAGTTGGAAATAGAAAAAAAAATAATTGGCAATCATCTACCTGCTATGTCCCGTTTACTACTGTATTCCTCTATTGTGGGGTCCTTTCTACATAAACCCCAAATTTTTACCGAGTTCTATTCATTCAATTTGAACTGAGCAGTGTAATAAACAAAAACAAATCTGAAAAAAATGCACATAAAAAGAAAAAACTGCAGTCTTACTTCTGTATTATTTTAGAAAATCTAATGTTCAGTATACTAGTTCTAACAGAATCTGAATTGGGGTCCAAACCAGAGGAATAGCCAAGTTCAACCCTAATGACACTAAAAACTCACAGCAGAGTTGAATAAGGCCAAACAATCTCATACATTTCACCAAGCTGTGCTGACACACACTCTTGTAACTTTCAGTATTGGATAAACAAGTGGAAAAACAAGTAGAGGTGGAACGTGATTATAAAAGCACTTCTGAAGATACGTTAATGACGATATCATGGGTATCCTACTACATCTTCTGCTAAAATACTTTTCAAAGTCTTGTGCAAGTTCACTGTAATCTATGAAATCTGAGATGGTTAAGCTATCTTTATTCTGACTTTGTTCCTAGTACATAAGATTCAAAATGTTGAGAAATACATGAGCTGTGTTACCGTTATGCCATTATGAATATGGAATTAAAAAAGAGAAAAGCATTTGGTCTACTGTTTTGATCAAATACACCAACAAGGATACTCTGCCTTTGCTTACCTAGACAGTTTATGTTGCACAAACATTCGATAGGCAGTTGGAGGAGAACAGAAGACAGTTATGGGAAATCTTGACAGACTCTAGGGAATTTAGAATAGTAAAAGTAAATGTTGCCAATATACTGAAATCTCTGAGGTCTTGTCTTCATTGTAAGACATAATAAACTCTGCATCCAGTTTATGAAACACGTGAACAAAAACTCTGGTGTCCTAAGAGCAGCTAACTCTGTACTTGCCAACACCAACACACATTAGTTACATTTAATTACTTCCTTCTTCAAAACAGAATCTATGTCATTTTACAATTAGTTCAACACACCGAAGTTTTTTGCTCTTGAAAGATTTACAGTTTCTCTTGCAAAATTTCTTCATAATTGCAGTTCAGAAGAAAACAAGTGAAACCATAAGGCTACTTTTTAGATGCTATATAAAACCGACGGTGTTCTTCAATATACCCTAATATGAACTAGCAATTCCCAGCCATCTAGTTAACGTGGATATGATGATAAAGTCATTATATGCAAAATGAAACATAGTAGGTTTTTTTTTTTCAAATTATGAGGGAGTCGTGTGTGGAGGATGCAAGACAGTATAATGGTGCCTTTTGTTAAAGAAATTCAACCTTGTTGCCTCTTCACTCCTTAACTTTCAATTACACTGTGCAGGCAACTGAAATTCTCATCATCTGTTGTTGTCACTTATTTTAATAACACCACCAAAGTGCTCCACAAATCCCAGAACAATTTCTTGTGTACTTCACTTCTAGACTTAATAATGGATGTTTGCAGGTTTCTGCACTCAAATCCAGAGCAGAATGAATATATTATGAAACTCTTTGGATGTCAAATATGCTCTTGTTTTTGGGGCACTTATTTGCAGCACTCACTACTTATCAGTTGGTTACCACCTGATGAAAGTTATAACTGCACTGTGTGCTGCCTCCACACAGCACCAAGGGAAATGAAAACCTGGGCATGCTCAGCCAGAGAGAACAGTGCTGTTTGTTGCTGGGCTCCCCTCACTTACCTCAAAGACAATGCTTGGGTCGAAGTGTGGCATCTTATGTACAAATACACACGCCCCCTGAATCCACGCTGAAAAAATGCTGCTCCAAGCTGACTTTGCCCAGCCCGTGTCTGATGTATTCCAAAATATATCTGAGGAAGTCAAGTCCAGCCAGTACCTGGTAACACAAGGGAACAGTCCACAGTCTCTATTTGACAGGAATAAGTCAAATATTAAAATACCAACAACAGATATGCCACGGAAGCAAATCCATCACTGTTTGTCTTGGGTAAAGGGTGATTAGAAAAGGCTGAATTTCTGAGCAGAAGTAAATCATAGCATAATGACAATGTCATCAAGATAGAACAATGTTGCATTTTTCTAAGGGAAAAATTATACTGACAGACAAGCTAACATCACCTCAGAATATGAATATGTTGTATGAATAGATGTGAGATTTCTGGGGTTTTGTTGAACTCATTTTTAGGGATGAGGATTTTTTTTTGTTCACTTCTAGTTTGGTATTTTCTGATTTGTTATTCTTTGCCTGTTAGAGTGAAAACACTGCCATATTAATTTTATAAACAACATTGCTTTATAAATTTAAATACTCTGAACTATAAGCATTTTGTTCCTGCAGAAGTTGTGCCTAATCCAGACACATATGAATTCAGAAGCCAAACAGACCCTTGGTTTTTTGCTTGTATGGTACAGACTTCATAAACTCGTGCTGATGTTCAGTTCGGGGGCAATCCAGCAACTATACAATGAAGAATTTACCACAAGCTAAAGAAGATGTTAAAAAGAAACTGGTGATTACATGACTGCTACATTCTCTATAAACTAAGGCAGCTAGACTCAAACTGCCTTGTGAGGAAAAAAAAAACCAAACAAACTCCTTTTGGGATGAAATAAAAGCTTCTGGTAAAAATCTTGTGTTTCTCTTCCTTCTGTTATGTGAACAGCTACAGAAATATGTCTGATTTAAAGTAACATCTGTACCTTCCACTTACTGTGAGGCCAATACCATAGCTGCTGTGGGAATGTTCAGTCATTTTTGGAGATCCTGTAGTTCCACTGGTAAAATAGATGGCCATTGGATCTTGACACTTTGTGGTCACACAGTGGTGATCAGAAGCAGCATTTCTTAAAAAAAACCAAAATTATTAATAAAGTGATTTGCAAGTATGAATTGCATATTTTTGAAAATGTTTAACCAAAATAACTGCAGCAATCAAAAGTGTCATAAACATTGATATTTTTCCACTGCGCAGTCCCAAAAGGGTAAAAATACATTGGTGTGTGCCAACATTTCCTATTCAAAACAAACTGCCATGCTTTCCGTCATTATTGCTGTGGTGCTTTCATAGCGGTATTTACTCACTTCATGAGATCTTTAAAGTTCAGCCACCCTTCTCTGTGGCCCTCTGACACAAGCAACTTGAATTTCAGAGACTGGCATTCAGCCCCAACTGAGTCTACAGCTGGTGCCACATGATCATCAGTGATGATACACTTTGCCTTAGATTTCTGTAGTCGATGAAGAATGTCCTTTGCTGTCAACTGCTGTGTGCCAGGAATCAAGACAGTTCCTAAAGGAAGGAAGTGGAAGGGAAAAACAGTCTCAGCATTTAAGAGTAACACCTGTACCTAGAAACCAGATTCACCTTACTTTGTTCTTTTGAGTGACACAGAGCTGTACTTTTAGGACTTAGACCTACATTTGTAAATATACTGATTTCTTTGATGGATTAAATGCTATGTGAGGATTAGCACAAGTTAGCAAATACTATATAGATCATGGGACAGTAAGAGAAATCAACAGAATAAATTCCCTTAGTTTGAAAACACTGCCCCTGGAACATGCCATCCCTCTGGAATTGACATCTTTACTGGTAAACATAGCCATTGCCTCACAACGTATACTGCTAGGGGTTGTTGGGCACCAAGACATTCTGGGTTGTAAATACTGAGAGGCTGAGTCTTTAACAGACCCCACAGGGGAACATGTGAAACACTTCGTTAAGCGTGGGTTAATTTCACTGAAAGTTAGCAAGAGGGTGTATTTGTGATGCGTCACAAGTCTTAAAAGCACCATACACAAAAAGCTTGGCATGAAGAGTGCATTTGACCAGCATGACACTAGTTCATCATCATTAGCATACTGGTAGTTCTGAGTGCATTAAATAGCAAAGATTTGTTTAAGTCGCAATTTCTGTACCTATATACCATCTCTATTCTCTTACTAACCTGTTCTTATGCAAGCCACATTCACCAGCCACCACTCCGGGATCCGGGGCAGAATCAGAATAACTCTGTCTCCCCGTTGCAGACCGCAGGCATCAGAGAGTATGTTTGCCACTTTCCTGGACAGCACTCCCAGCTCCTCAAAGCTCCACCTCACCTCTTCTCCAGCACCGTCTACCCACCAGAATGCAGGGTTTTTACACCTTTTTCCCTCCTATAGAACACCACGATACAGTAAAAATCCTTCATTTTAGAAACACATTGCCTTTACCTTAAGTTTGAGGAAGAAAAGCATTCATCACTTATTCAAGTGCTGGAGAAACCTGGGGATGCCACAAAAATTTGCCACTGATTCCAAACGAGGCAAATAACTCTCCCTTAGAAATAATGGTCTATAAACTTCATTTAGGAAATTAAATTTGTATTCCTTTCTTGAGTTCTTCATCTTACACTCTGAAGAGGTTGCACAAAGAAGAATCTTTTTCATTCAGGTCATGCCAACAAAGCAGCCAATCAATGTGGGTACCTCTGGGTTGTGCCCCACAGTCTCCTGAGCCCTCTGAGCTCATTTTCAACTTTGTCTGGAACTGGGCCTATCTGCTACTTCTGAAAATTAAATAAAAAGCTTCAAAAGCACAGGCCCACACAGTGTGACCTTTAATCAATGTCTCACCTAACTGATATGTGAAATTATTTGAAATGTAAGCATACGATGTGCTTTAAAGGGGTCCAATGCATTTAGCAGTAGCAGTGTAGTAAGTCACCTCCTGAGAAAAACATTCACTGAGGCAGCAAGAACATGACATCTTATTATCTATTTGAAGGCACAATAACACTAAGGTTCATTTTCAGAGGAGCAGATTTTATCTGTACACTTCAGAGGGCAGAGGCTGTTCCTTGCTCCATTTGCAGCCTGCCAAAACCTGGTTTTCGCGCAAAAAGAACAACTGTGTCAGACAGATGATACCTCTACTCTGTTCTTGCTGCCAGACTGGTCATAACTGCATTTAGTCCCTCATCATGAACACCCTGAGCCTGCAAAACCAGTCCTAAATGCACACAGACCAGACCTGTGTAGTAGGAAAGGCGATAGACCTATGCTTCACAGTTTGTGTTTTTTTTCTTTCTATATTCCCTTTCTTGACATAGCACTTATGTCTGGTTTGGGGTTCAAAGTTGTTCGGTTTTGGAGATTCCAAACCCCTGATTACAAATTTGAGGTAAGTGGGTGAGGCTTGACATTACACTGTATTTATTATTCATGTTACAGGCAGTTAATGAAACTCACAGAGGTCAAGTGATCTCCCCACCACATCCAGATGGGGTGCCCGTCATGGCTGATGGGGGAATTGATGCAAGGTTGAGAGTGGTTCAGTTCACAGTCTCACTTACAAGGCACTTATTTACGCACACTCAGTCTCACTGGAGTTACTGATTAAAGGAAATAACTATTTGGACTCACGGACAGGACAGTGTGTGGCCTAAGGGATCTACAGGTTCAAACTGTATGAGATGATCCCTAGATTATAACCAGAACATAACTCCACTGTCTTGGTTATTGGATTTGTCCAATACTCAGCATTAATGACCAGCATTAAATACTTCAGCATCAGAGAAGCCAAGTAACTGTTACCTTTTCCACTTCAGTCCATCTGTCCAGCACGTCTCTTGCAAAGTTGAAGTACTCTGGCACCTCTGGTCTGTACTGTTGTTTCATGACTTCGTAACTCAAAGAGGCGTGAATTGGGTAGCACCGGCTGCAAAGTTGGAGAGATCTTCTCAGGGGAGCCCGCAGGGACGTGACACTTGGGATTTTCAGTAAAAACTGCATAGCAGCAAGAGCCATAATACTCTCTTCAAAGTTATTCCTTATCAATTATCTCTTCAAGAAGTGCTACAGTGATACAGATACAAAGCTGGTATTAGCCATGCAGTTTCAGAACAGCTTTTATATCACATAGAGGAATACATTGGAACAAAAATTCCAACTGTTAATTGGAGTAACTGTTGAGGACGGTTCCAGTTTGGCTATTGTCTGATCCCTGCTCTCCATTGATCATCAGGCAGCTGAGATACTCACCCTGCATTCAACCAGCAGCACTCAGCCTTGTCACTGTGGCAGCTTTCCTATAGCTCACATTTCTTTCCTTCCCACAAGCCCCACTAATCTTGTGGATCATATTTCAGTTGCCTTATACACCAAAGAGGCACTGAACGCTACCCAAGCACTTCAACTCTGATGTCTGTAAATGAAATGTCTGCTACTGACTGACAATACAGAGGTAACAGTGTGGCCCAAGTGACATTCAGTACAAAGATATTTACAGTTTTTCTAGTTTATTAGAATTAGGGATATATTGGTTGCCAGGAATTAAATGGATGTAGCAAAGCCTTGAAAAAATTCTAAGTATTCATGTTTTAAACATTATTTTGATGTGTGGTCAGCAAAAGATATCACTTTATGAGACACAGAAACTTCAAAAGACTTCCTGTAAAAGGATCCAAAATGCAAGCTTTACTTCTCAAAACAGAGTCAACTTAGCAGGAGGTCTGAAAGCTCTGGAATAATTGTTTTCATGCATTGTCAACTGTCTTTTATTTACAAAATAATATAAACACTGCCAGTTCCTTATGGAACTAATAAATATCCAGCTGTAAAATAATGTTATTTAAGTGATTTAGTGAAGCAAAATGACATTTTTTGGATCTGTAATGCTCAGTCTGCATATGACAAACACAGGAGAGAAACCCAGCCAAATGAAAGACAGCAAGGGACAGGGAGAGGAGGGAATGTGGACAGACAAGAGGCAAATCAGCACTGCTGCAGTGCCAGAAAATGTCCTGACCAGCAGCTTGCAGGGGTGGGTGGAGAGTCAGTTACCTTGACAAAAGGCTGTCAGTCCCAGTTTACTGCCTCTCTGCCTTGCAGCGAAGTGGGGCCCTCCCAGCACTGGGATGTGTCACAGCTTTGATTTCTCACACAGAGCTTAGACTCCTGGCTGTGTGCCTGCTCTTGTACTGTTACTGTGTCCAGTGACTGACTCCTGTGTTCCTTACATGCACTTTGGACTCACACAGGGGGCAGCCCAGTCCAGCACAGAGAGAAGAGCTGACAAGTTTCTGCAGAGCTCAAAGTGGAGGGAGAAAGTGTGAGTCCTCAATCTCTCCTGTTTTCTTTCCCTTCCCTCTTCCCACCCACCAGCCCATCAAGGAACATGGTCATAAGATCTTGCTACAGCCAAATCACATCTGTTACTTTCTGGCTGGGGTAACACAGGAGCAACATCCTTGTGACTGGCTTTGTGGCTACACCACTTAGCAGGTAGCTTGGGGCTCCTTAGGTAACCATAGCAGTTCAGCCATGACAACACTGAGAATCAATTCCTGGGAAGCTGCAACAGGTGTCTGGACCAGCTTTGTTAATACTTGGTGACTTGTGAGGTTTTGTAAGGGCTCTGCCTCATGTTCAGAGAGCACAGAGTTATGTGCTGCTCCCGCAATGCTGTCTCCTCTGCTCCACTCCCATAGGAGAGGCAAGAGGGAATATGTGCCATTCTCTCCACCATCCAGGCCACAGCCCAGCATCACTGTGAGCATGGCTATGGCATTGGTGCATGCCTCCACCTTAGCCTCTCCTGTGAGGATGTCACTTGCTACGGAGCTAATGACAGCTGTAGCTTAAATTGGGGCATCAAGATTCTTAAGTTTGGCTGCCAGAGCACTAAATAGCTCCTGCTGTATCCCCATCCTCAAACCATGACTTTAATGTCAACAGAGAGACTGCCAACACCCATCTACGTCCTTAGAGCAGAGCAGTCCTCTGGGTGCTCATCAGTGAGGGTGATGCTGCATTTTTCCAGCATGTAGGTCCTGTACTTTTGCCAAAACTCCCTTCTGGGGTTCTGCCCACATCCGTTTGTAAACAGTACACTCAAAGGAGATGTTAACCAGCTCCCTGAAATGTTCACTGCAGCAGAAAGAAACTGATTCAAAACAGATTCCCCCAGACAACAAAGCTGTTCTCTGCCTAGTGGTAAAGGGAGACCTACAGTCAGTCTGCAGCAGTGACATTTTAAACAGCTCTTTGAAACGCATGCGATGAATTTCTCCCAAAGGATAGGCAGAGGAACAGTCCTAAAGGCATTCCCTACCCAGAAGATCACATTGCTCCAGAGGAGACACAAACATTAAGTGAAAATGACAGCAATGGCTTGTGATAAGTCAGGAATATATAGGCAAGGTGGTTTCCAGTTTAGGAAGAAAACCATAGCTTCCACAGTGACCTAATCTGTAACATTCTTTTGGTAGGGCATATAACTAATTTCCAGAGTACTGACAGGTATTTCCAAGTCCTCCCAGCACTCTTCACCATAGAAGTATCCTAGCTATGTTCCAAGTGGTTAATTGCACTTTCTTTGCACCACTCACAGCTGCCTGTAGAAATTCTTCCTTGTGTTTCAAATTTGTCCTGACATGCCCAACTCCAGAGACTATCACTGGAATTCACCAGAACTTTGAGTCTTTCACACAACCCCAGCCCTGCAAAGATTTAGGGACTTAATTATGTGTGTTCAGTAATTCCACTGATGTCTAACAATTGCTGTAGAATTATATGAGCCTCAAAGACTTTGCAGGAACAATGCTTCAGATAAGATGTAAACACCACCTCCCTTTGCAGTTGTAACTGATAAATACTTTCATCAATTCATTAAGTTTCCTTTTTTCCTACTTTAGCCCAACTGAATTTTCTGGATGTAAATAATATGATATGATAGTCCTGCCCCTAGTGAGGCCTCCTTAGCTGTCTCCTCTACTTGTTTCCACAAAATGTTGAGGAACTTAATTTCACCCCCCTTAACTGTCCACGGAGAGTTCAAGAGATCAAGAGTTACTGCAGGGAGAGAAGGCTCCTGTCGACAGGGATGCACAGAGACACTTTCCCTTAGAAACTACGCTGCGGGCCATGTATTTTCTGTCAACACATATTCTCTAGTATCTCAGACCTAAATTTACCTGTACAGAGAGTTTCTGTCTCAGCCGGTCCCTCTACACCATGACATCTCCAGGAGTTAAGACAGGCGGGGAAGTGGCCGAAGCTGGGGTGTCCGGGTTGGTGTTGGACACAGCAGTGCAGAGCAGGACGGAGCTCTGCTTGCTCCTCCGCGCTTCAGCAAGTCTTATCCTCTCCTCTCCTGGCACACCGCCTCTCTCAGTTCTGGAATCATTAACACAAACTCAGACTTTAATCCTGGAACTCAACTTCGGGGAAAGAGAAAGCACCAAAAGCGACAGAGTCCGCTCACAGCTGAGCGCGCCAGAGTACTGTGCCTGGGGAAATGCTCAACCTCCCCCCGGGACGTGCAGTCTGAGATGAACTGTAATTTTCAAGGGCGGGTTTGGGGTTTTTTTTAACCTCCCGGGGCACTGCGCTGCCTGCAGCAAAACCGACGGTGAGGACAGCTTGGCAGTCAGCTGCGGGCTTCACTGCGGATCCCACCCGGTGCTGGGGGTCGGCTTCTCCGGAGCAACACGGTTGCGCACTCAGCGGGAGGTGCCGCTGCCCTGCGCCCGCGACCTCCCTCAGCGCTGCCCGGCGGGGCTCTG